CAACATATTACACGTTGTTTTCTTCTTGATATATATTACCCTGAAGTTTATCTTTACTTAACTTTTTTTTTCCTAGTTAAAGTTTAAAGTGTGGCCTCAAATTTTAACAATAAAGGACATTGTCCTGCATGAAATGTAGAAAAAAAGTCCTGTTTTAGCAAATCCAATCATCATTTGATCTGCTGGTATCTTGTTGTTTACAGTGTTTATAGCTATAATCTATCCTGTGGTTTATCTGACAGCGTGGCTACTGCCTGATACAAGAGAGATCAGAAAAAGGCTCATTCGCTAAGGGGCCTTAAAACGTGAGTAATGGCCCCTAAGTGAGGGGATCATCATTCCTGTGTAATCGGCATGAATTTGATTAACAATAGGGCAGAGAGCGGGCTATTGATCAGCACGATGATCTTGGGAATTTGATCCCTTTTGTTCGACCTGATTAATTGGAGATCATCTCGGATTCATCTTAAGGGAAGAATAAACATGTCATGCTGATTTCGGTGTTAACTCTCTGAGTCACTATCCAAACAGTAACGGAGGAGGGGAGGGGGGGAGAAGGGTCGGGGGGGGGACACGATGACCGACTGCGTTTAGGGGAAATGTGCGCATTAACAAGCAGCTTTTGAAAACGCGCTTCATTTGCGTCACGGCTCGGCTGTTCGTTTGCTCTCTTGCAACTGGCCTCATACTGATAACGGACAACTGGGCCGAGAAACACATGACGTGGAGCACCGGTGACAAAACATCATAATGGGGATAACTTTATTTGGTTGGCCCGCTAATTGGTCCCTATTATTAAAAACCACTGTAATCATGCAGAGTCATACATAAAACACGCTTCCTATCCGTAATGAGGGTGAATCCGTCATATTTATTATTAAATTAGTGAATTAAAATAAATTTTTACCACATTTGTACATTTAATTATGTATTTTTTTTTTTTTATCTCTCCAATAATGCAGGCATCATCCATATTCAGTATCATTTCGACACACTATTTTATAGGCTAGTCGTTTCTATGGTGACTCTTATCAGGAGGATTTATCACGTTTTTAAGTGATCTTTAAACAGCCTGCATTAAAGACTAAACCCTCCATATCCCTACAAACTCTCTCTCCCTGATAAAAGTCTGTTTGGTTGAGCGGGTCAAATGTGAGCCAGATGGCCTCTAACCTACTGTAACCTGGACATACAAATTAAGGCAAATTAGTCATTTATTTATTTTTATCTTTATAGCTGACTCTCGGGTCATTTTCACCTTTCCTTTGTGTTTTCTTTTCCACCATCATCAATCACGGCCCAATCATCTCCTGGTGTTAGCTGAATACAGGGGCAGCCTGTCATCAAAGGCAGAGGGTCGCCCTTATCACCCGCCGTCCCACAGGTGTAGAGCTCAGTCCACTCTCACTAAAAATGACAACAGGAGCTCTCTGGCTAGTCCTCGCTCTCCAGCTGAGATGCGTCACCCCGCTCGCCATCCCGCAGGACAGGGGGACAACAGGGCGGAAGGACGCTTTGGATGCGACGCATACGACGAAGGACAAGCTGGACGCGCTGGTCCACCTGAAGGATTTACCTCGGGGTCCAGCGGTGGCTCCTCACAAGAAGGCGCCTCAGTTTATGTTGGATCTTTTTAACGCGGTGTCAGTCTCAGATGGGACCCCGAAAAGCCAGAAGGAGATTTTGGAAGGAAACATAGTGCGGAGTTTCGAGGACAAAGGTGAATATCAAACTGACATTTACGCACGAACTACGATTGTTTTGTGAGAATGTATGTTGGACAATATATAAGCTTGATTTAGGTCAACATTTTTACCTCACAGCATCATTAAATAGTATGCATTAGAGCGCGTAATTGTTATCCAAACGTACCATTACGCACGGTTACGCACGTTCCTGTTAAACAGATAATTTTAAAAACTTTGTTACAGTTCTTTAACAAATGTTTTTTAAACATTTCACTAAAGATGTGTTTCATATATTCCCGTTTGCAGGTCACGCTGGAGAGAGGTTTCACTTCTTCAATCTGTCGTCTTTCGGCAGAGACGAGAGAATGATCAAAGCGGAGTTCCGCTGGTTCAGAAAGAAACAGAAGTTTTACCTCGGAAAGTCTTATGGGCCTCATTTCTATAAGGTACAATTCCTTCTGTGTGACATTACTTAATCTGTTCTCATGCAGATATGTCATTTTCGTTAATTCATAACTTGTGCAAAGTGCACCAGAGAGCACTATGAATATGAGTTGTTATTCTGAGCAGTGTTTTGGTGAGTAGGTTACCACACTGACCAAATAACAGCAGTCATCATGCTTCAGTGTATGCAGAAGTTTAGTAGATGTAAGACTTTGACTGAGGTTTGGATGAGAAAAATGCCTTTCATGGACACAGTGATTTAACAGCTTCATGTTGTGTCTGTTCAGGTGGATCTGTATGAGGTGCTCGACAGCCGAGTGAAGCCATGGAGAGGAAACCTCATCACCTCCAGACTGGTGCCCCTTTACACACAGGGATGGGAAGTCTTCAATGTCACTCAAACAGTAACACGCTCCCTATTATTTATTCTATATATATTCATTTGTAAAAAACAATTGTCTTCACACAGGCTGTGTGTGTCATTGCCTTTGTGCATAAATGTATTTGAGCTGTGTTTCATTTGTGTGTTAAGTGTTTCTCAACTTATGTATTTAACATGTTCAATCTTGCTCTGAATGTCAGGTGTCAAAGTGGATCCGCAACAGCCAGGAGAATAACGGCATCCTTGTGGTGACCACACTTCCTTCTGGTAACTGGATGGAGTCAGTGACGGACATGAATGCCTACCTGGTTATATTCTCAGACGATGGGAGGACAGGAGCATCAAACCAGTCATACCTGGGTAAGGTGATGTTAGTGGTCTGAGTGTGTTACATAGAGGATTGTTTATCTGTATCTGCTTTGCATTTTTCAGTATCCATCATGTATGGAACCACTAAATATTCAATATTAAGTAATAAAAAAGACAGTATGAAATAAAGAATAAATTGTGTAAAACATATAATAAACCAGTAATTTGTAATTAGTCAAACTCATTATTATTTATTATTTTACTGGGAAGCATTTTCATTTACAAAAGCATTTTTTTTTTTTCTTTTTCTTTATAACTCATTTCATGGCTAATTTAATTCCATAATGCCACTTTTTATTTCATAATACACTTATTGTGCACACAATACCCTTTTTATATTTCCACTTTGCGTGAGTGTCACTGCCCCCTCAGCTTGGGCCAATCTTATACCCCTCCTTCTCTTACGCTAGCAAGCTCAACAACTGCTACCAACTTTAGCCAGTTAGCCCCTGCTGCTTATCAACACACCCATTTAGAGCTATTCAGCAACTATAAGTTGTATATAAGCATTTAATAAATGGTTTACATTTCAATCATTTTCTGTTTATACACCAGCCAACAGACTTATAACCGTTGGCAAGTCTAAAATGTAAAAGTGTAAAAGATGCCATTTTGTTTGAATTTAGCAAATTGAAATTGAATATTACCAGTGCCAAAAAGGGCCACATATGAAATACTTTTTTATTTATGATGCCATTCTAACCTAATGTGATCATCTTCCTCTTTCCGTAGGACAAGCCCAACCTGCAGCAGCAGCACCTGAGCCCCATGACCACCACAACAGGAGACGGCGTTCATCTCCAGGGTTATTTCCCCACGGGCGCACGCAGTCCTGCCAGCGCGTTCCCCTCTTCGTTGACTTTGAGGAGATCGGCTGGTCTGGCTGGATCATCTCTCCCCGGGGGTACAACGCCTACCACTGCAAAGGCTCCTGCCCGTTCCCCCTGGGGGGAAACCTCAGAGCAACCAACCACGCCACGGTGCGCTCCATCATGCATGCGCTCAAGCTCTCTACCGATGATGTAGGAGCACCCTGCTGTGTTCCCGACAGACTCCAGTCCATAAGTTTGTTATACTTTGATGATGAGGAGAACGTGGTTTTGAAGCAGTATGATGACATGGTGGCATTAAGCTGTGGCTGTCACTGACTGTCTGTGCACCTCCTGCACTTTTTAACACTGGGACTATGAGGGATGGGGAGATGATGGTTCGCTTGAGTTGAATTAAAACACTGTATTTCTGTGCATATGTTTAAATATTGTATTATTTTGAAAGGAGGAGAAATAAAACAACTATTCCTGTTCAGTGATCTTTAGTCTATAGTTTAGTGCTGGGATTCTAAACCCTTTTAACAAAAGGATGCCCAAATAGATTTACCATAGACCTAAATACAGTTGAAAACACGTTGTTTTAATGATTCTTAGTTGAAATTAGTTTTTAGTCATTGATTAGTAATGCACTATTTGTTACTTAAGTTTAAACTGAAATTTAATTATAACATATTGTACTGGGGGCACTGTAGACCAATATTAAGGTCTTTTGAAGGATCCTGGACCCTGATTTGGTGACACTGTCTATGGTAATTAGCCAGCCTTCCCTTTTGATCAAATCCTAATGTATTTTTTTTTTTCAACTTTAAGCCAGTCTTTAACTGGAATGCCATAAATTAAAGAGTGGTGAAAGGCAAAATGAAAAAAAAAACATGAAATGATTTGAAATGCAAACAGTCAATGTGAATATAAATACAAATACTAGTACCGATTTTTTACATAGGTTAGAAACATAGGTTAAATGGTCAAATCTTATTACATTAACACTCAAAACTGGGTGTTAATGTAAAATAGGTAAAATAGGTGTTAAATAGGCCATTGTGAACCACTATAATTCACAATTTGCTTAATTTTTAAGCATTTAAAGTTCTTACTTGTGTAGTTGCGCCAATTAGTAAATAAAAGCATACACAGGCCGTTTTTCACTTTCTCATAATAATAACAATCAAAACAGTTCAATCATTATACATTTATAAAAGCCGGTTTAGCAGTTTTCCTTTTTTTAGGCATATACTTCACATGAAGAATGACCCTGCAGTTAAATTAATAATACTAGCACAATAAAAGTCTGTAACAACAGTTGTTCTTTTTATTGGAATGGATCACAGACACAATACAGCCCTGCTTTATTCTACTTTAGAAAAAATTCCAATGCAACAAACTTGCAAAACCAATTGTCCTCTCCTCCTCTTCTCTGCATATTAAAAAAAATATGAATTGGCATAATGCCAGTTAAAGCTTTTAGACAGTATAAATGAAATGTGTCGTCTCAAAGACATTCAATAGGTTAGCATGCAAATTTTTAAAATTTTAGTTGTGTGGATCAGTTGAAATCTGTAACCTACAAATCAAAGAAAATGTTTCAATGAATTCAATTTGTTTCAAGTACCTTGAAGGATAACTTAAGTGACTGCACACGGTCTGGTGAAAAAAGAAATCTCAAGGCAACAAACTGCAGTTAATAAAACAAACACCACACAATACCTGAAATGCAGTGGAGACCCCAATACCACTGTAGATGTGTATAACAAACAGCATTTACAATAAATATTCCACATTTACATTCAAACTTACCTCTCTCTGTTTACACTTAAATACAATATGTACATGGATTGTCCATGTTCCTTTCGTCTTTCTCAAAAATATCTTACACAGATTTGTCAAACCAGCATTCGACAAAAATTCATTCATTCACAAATTCATTATCCCGTCAGTTCACTCAAGTCAAACTCGTGTCTCTTCATAAAAGCGATCGAGGCCTCACAAAGCCTGCATAGCATCTGTGTCTTGTGTAAGTTAAGCCAACAAAAGCAATACAAGGATCAGACACTTAAATGAAAAGCCTTGAAGGAAAAATCCACCCTGAAATACTTTAACACTGTTCAAAACAGTGTGTGCCTTGCATTTCTGGATCCATCTTTCTGCTCATGGTGTGTTTTTATTCTGTATATAACAGACCAAAACATCACACTGAAATATCTCCATCATGGCTACAAGGGTATTAAAAACAAAAGATGTTTAAAAAATGGCTTCTTGCTGGAGTAGTCATCTTGTACCAGCATTCAAACAGGGAGAAATTCATCAATGAAACGTTGCTTGTAGCAAATGTAGGAAATCACTAACTAGAGTAAAAGTAGACTAGGTAACGTGAAGGTGGAAACAAAAACTTAGAACACTTGAACACAAAATAATCCCTGGAATGCAATGAACACCACAATTTGATGACACAAAACAGCTTAAGCAGAGGGGGGATTTTTCCTTTCAAAGCTCATGGCCTATCAGCTCGCACAGTCCAGCTCCTCAGTGCCTAGAAACTCCCCTAACATGTGGTCATGTTGACCACAGACAGGCTCTAAATATTGATGTCTTTCCTTACAGTGCCTTTGCCTTGACCTCTCTAGTTGTCTCTGCTCAAACTCCTCTGGTGTCATATGAGAGGCTTGGATAGTAGCTTTCTGAGCCATGGGAGACAGAGGCACCGGGACAAAGCTGTGGTACACAACCATAGGTGGGGTCAAAACCTCCAAGGGGGATGCCTGAGGAACGGCACCCTCTGGCGGCTGGACTGGCAGCTGCACATAACTTCCTGTTTCAGGATCAAAGAAAGTTTTCGTCTTGACTTGTACGGGCATGTCAACAAAGAAGTACTGCCCAGAGTCTGGATCCTGGAGGAGCTTACGTTGGGTCATAGGAAAGGACTGCGTAACAATGGCATGTTCAATGCTAGACTGGCGAGAAAGCTGGCTGGTGTGGCTGGTGTGGCTGGTGTGGCTTGACTGGCGGGACAGAGTTGAAGGGTGCGGCACGTCTGTGCTGTACGTATCAATACTGTGACTCCTTCTCAATGGGTTCTCTCTGCTCACCTTGTCTCTGGTACGGCCTCTCTGCTGAAGTTCGTCCATGATGGATTTCTCAATGCGCTGGGTCCTTGGATCAAGCTTCTCGTTGACTGACATATCGGCACTGAGCCTGCGCTCCACTTTATCTCCTAAGTACCTGTCAATGCTTTGTGATCGGTGCAATGGCCTGTCCGATGTGGGTCTCTCGGTGACGTGAGCTTTGTATACAGGTACATTACTGATGATCCTATCGCTGCTGTAGTGTCTTTGCTCTGGCTTATCTCGAATATGTTTGTTGCTGCTGCGGCCTTGCCTTTCTGTTGCAACACTGGGTAGTGCTTCATTGTTCAGGTTATTGCTTTCCACCAAATCATGGCTCTGTCTCCTAGTCTTGTGGCCCCTGTCTGTTTTGTCTTGATGGTGGTTTTCACTCTTGTGGCCTCTTCTTTCGTAGAGTAGTTGCTCACTCCGATCGTCATTTTTACCATGGCTTTTACTGTGATGGTGACCATTTTCAATCTTTTCTCTGTGTTCCCTCTCACTGCTTTTACTATTTCTACTGCTTTTGTGCTCAGATTTGTCACTTTTGTTTCTATCCACTCTGTGTTTGCTGCTTTGAGATGACTTGTGGGAGGACTTCTGGGCCTCCTCCTTCTTCATCCTTCTATTTGCCAGCTTAATGGCTTTGAGAACAGCCTTTTCAGATTTGGGCAAGACAGCTGGGGGTTTGGGCAGCCCTGTTTGGCTTTCATTACCACTGCAAGTGGACCCAGACCATTCACTGGGAACCTTTGATACTTCCCGCACATTCATTCCCAACTCATCCGCTGTGTCAGCTGTGCTGGTTGTTAAACTCTCCACGCCTTCAGATGACGGGCTCACGCCAGAAAATCTGTCTTCCTCCTGTGGGACAGTGAGGAACACTCCAACCTGTGGTTTCTTTGGATTTTCACTTGGCAGATTTGAAAGAGACAGCAGCAGGGGAGGTGAACTGTTTGATGCAATCTCTTTAGGTTTGATTTCATCTGGGATTGGTGTGCTACCATGAGAGGCAGGTTCATTTGGCGGAGGAAGTTCTGGATTTTCCTTTACTTGATGTAACTCCTCATCTCCCCTCTCTGAACCACTCAGACTACTTCTTGGTGACCAGGGATGTACAGTCTTCTTCAACTTATTGCTGAAAGTGTTGTCTTTGACCTTAAATAAGGCTGGGATCCCCAAAGTTGGAGAGAAAATGTTGGAGGGTGACATTGGTGTCTGATTATTTTCATCATGAGTTGAACTTTGATCTGCAGTGGCATTTTCTCTTTCTTTGTTGTCCTTGTACGGTACTTCAGTCTCTTTTTGAGGAGATTTTATTGGTCGCCTTACAACCCCCGGCTCACTTTCATGATCACTTAAAGAATAATATTCCACTTCTGTCCTGTCCGTATCCTGTTTTATGCTTTCTGAAATATTCTGCATCACCTCATCAGCCTCCTCCACCTCACCAATCAAGTTCTCCAGAGAGTGGTAAACGTTTGACTCGGTCTCAGTGTTTCTGTGCAGTGCACTCTCCGCAGAGAAGTAGGATGATTTTGAGGACAAGCTGGCTTGATCAGGTGGGCTCTGATTGATGCTAACACCATTTACCAACAACAAAGGTGATATTATATTCCTAGGGATTTCATAAAGCGCTTCTGCATCCACATTTATTTCCTCACTAGCTCTGTTTATTTTGTCAGGTTCTTCTACCACTAAACTGTTTGTTAAGTTGTCATCTGGTGTGTTTAAATGGTCTGGTTTTAAAGGAGCCTTCCGCTTTAGCTTGTATGTTTCCTGTGCCTTTGCATTGCTGTTTTCAAATGTGGCTTCCCGAGTGGGGCTAATATCTGCTTGCAAGTTATTTGCCTTATTTTCATTTTCTTTAGACTCATACATAACAGCATCGGTTTCAATAATGAATTTTGAACTTGTATTATTTACTACATCCCCCCTCTTTTTATCAGAACTGGTTTCGGTTTGACCTTGTACAACTTGTTTTGTAGACAGGTCACTACCTACCTCATGTTTTTCTGAACCTGTACTCCTCTCTCCTCTCATATCTTTCAAGTTTAAGTCACCATTTTCACATTTTCCATCATTGTTAAAGATATCCTCTTCTATTACATCTTTCAAACTATCTGTCTCCACAGTAACACTTCCATCTCTTCTGTTCCCTCCCTTTTTGATCCTAGGAGGAACAGGAGGAACATCTCTCATTTTGCCTTCATCTTGGTTCATCAGATTTTCTCCACTCTCTTCAGACATCTGTCTCACCATGTGTCTCAAATTCACCTCTTCTGGTTCATAGCTTGGATTATCAGTTAGTTTATCATTAACATGTTTAGCTTTAGGTTTTATGAGTGGGCTTAACTCATTGCCAGTCTTTTCAATACCAGGTAGCACTGTCCTACCACCTGATATGAGAGTCTCACCAAGTCTAGGTTCTGTTTGCGACAGGATCTGTCTCATGTGATTGTGGTCTCTCAGGTCACCTAACCTCTCTTTTAAATCTTTCTCTTTTAGTCTAAGAGTGCTGTCATTTGTTTTTTTCTTGGCCTCTGTCATAGAATCTTTCATAGCTTTTTTACGTTGCTGTACCCTTGTTGCATAACCTTCATCACTAGAGTTCTCATCAAATATTGGATCTGCATCCTGCTCTGTGACTTTATTCTTTCTCTTTTGCCTCTCTGAGATTATCTCTTCAAGGGCCATTTTAGCTTTGTCATAATTGTCATTTAATAGTGTTTTGTTTACTATGACATTACTGTCTATCTTTGTGAAAACCTCTTGCTTGTTCTGCTCCTTCTCTTTATTTACAAATAGTTCTCTCTTAGCCGATGTGTTCCCTCTCATAGACAGCATACCTTTCTTAATATTCCGTAGCTCCCTTGAGATCAAATCATTCTTAGCCCTTGTCTCCTCATCTATGTTAATAACCCCTAATTTGTTCTTCGCGTTATCGAGAATTCCATCGCCAAGTCTGGCTCTCTCAAGCTCTTTCAAAGCATGCAAGTCATTAATTATATGCTCACTATCTCTCATTTCTCTGGGTGATATCTTCTCCTCATCTGTCTCCATTCTATTCACTTTCAGATTCCCTTCCTCAAACTCCTGTCCTTGTTCCTCATCCGTGACTGAATATCTCTGACTTTTTATATAATTGTTCTGTCTGGATGAAAATATATGTTTGAATTTGCCCTGTTGTTGGACGGATTCATTTTCATTTGGTGGTAAATCTAATTTCACATCTCCCGAATCACCATTAGTGAATTTGTCAACACTATGTGTTTGCTGTTTGTCAAGTACAAGTTGAATATCAGACTTAACAAAATTTCTCTTTGGAACTGGTGGGGGATCTTTCTTGACATTACCTTTTTTGCCAACCAGGGTTGCACCAGTTGCTTCACTTCTACTTTCAGATGAAACATTGTTGTTTTCTGTTACTGAACTGTCCCTCTTGCTCTTAAAGATTTCTTTTGAATAGGCAACCTTTGTGTCCATTCCTTTCTCCCTCAGTTCCTCTGAGATGGGCTTATTGATGCTATCTGACTGAGCTGCAGATAGAGCTTTATTTTTAGCTGCAATAATTGCTTCCCTTGCTGCTCTGATCACATCCATTGTACTTATTGGTTGGCCACCTGTATCCTTTTCCTTAGAACTAACAGGTTGTGCTCCCAAGTATTTTTCTTTTATGTCTTTTGCAGGTTGTTTTACTTTGTCCGGTACATTTGGTGGTCTTTTCCCTACTGATACATTTGATGACAACCCTTCTTTCTCAAGTGCCTGGGGTGAAATTATGGGTGAACGATCTTTGTTGATATTTAAAGCATTTGGTGAAAGCCCTGTGTTTGTTGGCAGTTCTTTTGGAGAGAGTTCTTTGTTTAGTGTGAGTGGTGAAAGTTCATTTGTCTCAGTAGGTTGGTCTATGTGTATAGGAGCACCATTGCTCATTGGGACTTGAAGATATTTCATATCACTGTCATTAGGGCTGGCTTTCTTGTACAAATTCAGAGAAGGGTAGTTTTGCTTTTTAGCCCGGGGACTCTTGGTCTTTTTTGAGTGTATAAAGGGGGATATGGGATTTTCCTCACCAAGACTAGTGCTACCTGCAGCCTCTCTTTTGGTTTGCAGGAGATTTGATAATAAATAATCATCTGAAAGAGGTCTTTCAGTATCATGCTTAGTAAGATCACCTATTGGAGAGCTGTTAGATTCCAAAATAGGACTGAAAACTGTCTGTCCATCTTTAAAAATTGCTGGAGTGCTTAGGCCAGATGCATTGCCCTCTGAGCCAGCTTGTGTATATTTCAGATAATCTGACTGTGGAGATTGTGTGCCACTCTCAGGCACTTCTAAAGTTTTGAATTTAGGTGGGCTGTAACGGCTTTTCACCCGTTTTCTGTTGTCTTTCAGATTAAAGAGGATGCTAGAGGCGAGTGATTTGTAGCTGTCCCGCTTGACTGGAGGTTCAGGGGTCAGTTTGGCCTCAGAGTGTGGTCTTAGTGGAAGGTCAAGGGCAGAAAGGACACCTTGGAGGATTTCTGATGTTTCTGTCGGTTGTCTGGAGGGAATGAGGGGAGTCATCAGCTGGCAGATGCTGAACGGAGTAGATGCCAAAGAGCTGACTTCCTCGACTGCTTTTACCTCAACAGATCTAGCTTCCTTTTTAATCAAAAACATACTTTCATCCACTGTTTTTGAACTGTTTTCCTTAGGTGGTATACCAGGCTGGTTGACTGGAATCACACTTTTTGCCCTGGACCTGTTGCGCCTCCAGGGGGCAGCACTCCCATCCACTCCATCTGATGAGCACCTCTTCTCAGCTGGAGTAGCTGAGGGCTTTGGCAGGACCTTTGGTGGAGGAGGGGGAGGGATGGGTTTAGGAGCAGTGGGAGGAGGGGGCTTAACTGCCGGTTTCTGGCATGACTGTGCCTCCTCTGTATGCAGAGTCTCTTTTCTGTGTGCCTCTGTCAGCTCCTTGTAAAAAGGCAAGTCGTACCATTTAGGGATATTATCTGTTGGGAGAACTGTGTCCTCTTGGCCAAAGGGGAACTGATTCAAATCTCTCCACGACTGGAAAGGGCTAAACTCACTGTGGAGAAAAAAGTTTTTGATGTTAAGTTTCCTTAGTTTGACAGTGGACTTCCCATTTTTGATCTTTGAGGATTTCCCTGATGGAAGGGCAACATCTTTGCCTGTTTTGTTTGATGAACCATCACCAGAGTGATGTCGATGATGATTCTTGTAATGTCCCTCTGTGAGATTGGTGTGATAATCCGAGGAAAATTCCGAGAGCTCTCTTTGGATGCTGCGAAGTGCGGACTTATCCCATGATTCCCCCTTAGAGTCTGTCATACCTCCATTTTTGATGAACATCCCCTCACAGCTTTCCTCTGTGGCACTTAATGCCTTGAGGAAAGACGACATGTGGGATATATTTTTCTGTTGCTGCTGTTTCCATGGCTGGGCATAATTTTTGTCATTTTTGTTTTGCCCTTGCTTTTTAGATTCCTTATTATGAGTCTTTTTAAGCGGCTCCCCCACCAAAGGTTTATGGCAGCTGAAAGGTGAGTATCCATACAACAATTCGTCATTATAAACTGCGTCATCTCCAACGCAGAGACTTCGGAAGGCTCGATCGGTGAGAGTGCTGACCTCGCGGTCAGTCTCGTCCATGAACAAGTCGGTGAAGCCGTTGGGAAAGCGATGGTGGAGCATGCTCCCCACCCGATGGCTCATGTGTCGCTTTTCCACACAGCTCATGATGTCACCAATTTTCCTTCTGTTTCGTGCATCACCTGCTTTGCCTCCTCTAGCTCTGTTGCAGCTCTGCGGATCCTTTGGTTGTCTTCCAGCTCAGATGGACATTTGGGAAGTGGTGGGATGTGTAAACTTCCTAAAAACAGACAGTGAAATCAGTCAGTGTTTAAAGATTTTAGTTTAATACTGTTATACTTACTCACAAATGGTAAACAGTTACTATTTTAGCATATGATTACTGTAAAAGGTTGTGAACTGTGTAGTTGCTTTGATGACCTTTATGTACACGACATGTGTCTGCTTCGGCCATGCTGTCACTATGCAGGCAGCAGACAAACACTTCATACCATGCGCTTGGCTATTTTAAGCACTGTATGGTGTCTTATGCTGTGATCACTAAGCATACTGTTCGAGGCTATGAGAACAGCTCCTAGTCCATTTATAGGAACATTGTTAGAAAAGATAAACATTTCCAGTGTTCATGTGTATGCATGTCAAACTAGGACCAATGCTAGGGCCATTCACATCGGTCCCTTTCAAATGCAATCATCTTATTTTTCACCTTTAATGAATTTGTTTGGTTAATACGTAGATGATTCCCATGCAAAGCTCTACAACAATATTCGTTCCAGCAGGTTTACACCACAGAGTGCAGGAAACGCAAGTAAATCATCACATCAGTCACAGAGCGCCTCAACAGCAGCTGCTCTACTGTAGCTTACTTTAGCTATCTGGGTGAGGTCTTAGAATAGCTCATTAACCCATTTATATGTCCTGACCTGGGAGCATAGCCACTGGCAGATAACTCAACTCTTTAACAATCCACAAAACCATGACTCTCCTTATAAGCAGATGAGATTGATTGAGACAAATATAACATTCAATAATTCAATGATATGTTAGATTGTGTTTGTATATTAAAACTGTATAGTTTGAAAGCAATCTCAGTTGTCACAAGACATTCATGTTTATGTTAATTATTATAAGACTGTCACTAAGTGACTTTACTGTATCTTGAGTCTGACTTACAGAATGTTTTGGCTTTCCAGGAGACTTCGGTTGCCAACAGTCTTCCAGCTCTCATAACCAGAGATCAGTTAGCAACCACGGTACTTTCCCAGCATCTGCTTGTGTATTTATACCCAAGGAATGAGGTAGCCCAGTTAACTATACTGTATAAAGGCAAAAGCATTGGAATATAATTCCCTCATATATTTATATATATCAGTGAAAATTATATGACAATACAAATGTAAAATGATTATATAGCAATGTATGCAGACATTCTGAGGGGCCCTTGTGCTGTAGGTCTTTTTGGACAGTAATGTTTAGCCGAATCAAAAACTTGAATTATCTTATATTTTGTCCGCTGGCCCCTTAGTATTTTTCATGTCTTTGTAAACATCCATACAATCACACTTCTCCCTCACCTGTGTGATGGGTCTTTCATGCTGTGTGTAACCGTTCAATCTAGACAGTGGTATCAAAAACACAAATCCTCAATGTAGAATCCAAGAATCCAGTGCAGAATCACCTGCTGAAAATAAATTATGGTTAGCCGTTATCATTCATGGTAAACCAACTTTTTCTCTTGAAGATGAAGAAACAAAGGAAACTCACCAAAGTGAGTCAAGCCCTCAGATCCATGTTCAAATGCACTGGTGCGGCCAGGGTCCTGATAGCGAGCTCAGAAAATACCAAAATAGATGCACAAGTTGGTGTGGCCAAACTGAGCAGCAACACAGAACGCGGCTAGCTAGCTCACATTGGAAAAACCAGTGGGTGTCGAGTGGCAGGGCGAGACAGGCCAGCAGGATGAAATGGACACTGTCATTGGTTATTTTTGTAACTAAGCAGTGAGGGCTGATAGGCTCCCTTAAGGACCTTCTCTTTACAGGCACCTTTAAAAAGATGACAGGGCCTTCATGCCAGTGATGATTGATACCTCTTATCAATCATTTGGGTATTGGTGAAGACAATGCAGAGGTGTGGGGTGTACTTACCTGGTTGCCAACACCATTGGCTAATATGTATTTTATTTTTATTTTTTTTACTAATTTTGCCTCGTCACAGAGGGAAAACAAGCTTTCTGATATAGACTACAAATTACCATGACAGTCCCTGAAGTGGAGATTGATCGCTATCTAGAGGCATATGTCTGCTGACTGACATGAGTATGGTGGGGATGGGCTAATTCTTGTTTTTCAAGCTGTGTTTACAAGGCTGTGTTGTGGACATGACTGTGTGTGTGAACGGATAGTCTAGTTTTAGGACCAATGCAGCTGTTGTTGCTGTGCGATTAAGCTGAAATGGAGGGGGCATTTTGTTGACTTGTTACCCTTTGTGAGTCAGAGGAAGTCAATGGATTAGGTCACATGTGAAGGTTGACCCTGTGCATTCCCTAAATGGAGAAAGTGGGGTGTTTAAGAAATACTGTATGGCTCAGTTTAGTTTTATGTCACAAGAGAACAATATGCATACTGCCAATGCATTTACACTTAATGTTAAGATTTGCCGTTCTGCTTTTTGCTAGCATGTTCATGCAGCAACACTATCACCTTCATCTGTTGATTCTGTTTTAAGAGTATAGGCCAGAAGAGGATTTATGAAAGAATAAAATCGCAACTTCTGTTGAGCCTTCCTTGGCTCCAACAACAACTCCATGAATCCATGACCCCAGCATCCACAGGGCTCCATCAAGGTGCCATATTTAAGCCAGTCTATTTCTGTCACGTTGTATTTCATAAGGTAACAGCATGCCTCTCTGCCAACTGCACCTTCCACACTTCAGCTAATCACTAACCCTCTACGTGTTAGTTGACTGAACTTAGGCAGCAACACATGCAAAACTGGTCCTAATATTACACAAATGTATGTTGGATGCACAAATACTGTGCATACACAATGTAAGAGTACACAAATCAGGTTAAAGGTCTCCCTTGAAATGCAGTGGATATAAATATTATACAAATCATATTTGGTCTCCCTTGAAATGCAGTGGATATAAATATTATACAAATCATATTTGATCAGTTTTTTGTATTGCAAAGCATATAAGTATTGCACTTGCAGATAATGTGACATGTTCATTTTTAACTGGGAAAAGTCCCTGTATTGTTTTGGGGCGATAGACTTACTTACTGAGCAATGTGAGAATAGCATGCTGCGGGCAGAGATACTGTATGTGAGAGCATTTCCCTTTTACTGTCTGCAGTCATGTCTTGCCCAGAATAAGGCCTCACATGGGCCTGCTCCCTCCTTCTCGCACCAAACCTCCTCCTCTAGCATATTTCTCACCTTTCTCTGTTTGCCTCCAACCCTCCGATAGCAAATTAGACCCAGTGCTTCTGCCAGCGACCCAGTTATTCCCTATGTCATAGCCAAAACGCTAACCAATGCTATAATGGGAGTTGAAGCTAAATTCAGAGCAAAATCAGCTTGAAAGGTGGCTGGGAACAGTTTGTAGTTTTGTAATTATTTGTGAATAATGTAAGAGATTACAATTTGAAATTCTCTAAATTTCGGAATCACTGCCGTTCATGAGGGGTTTCATTGGTTTGCTGTAAGGAGTGGAGAAACTGATCCATGGTGTGTTAGCTTGGCGCAAGGGTGAAACTGGGCTCCACCAAGAGAAGATGAATACGTCTACCGTCGAGCTCTTTTATTTATATGTTGTGTCTTTATAGCTAGCTAGCAGCTGGTTAGCCTGCATTCACCTGGGTTTTGTTTAGAGCGTTTCACTGTGAAGACGGCTAAGCTAGCTGTCTCTGCTCAGCAAATAATTCCTGTCGGCTGTCTGCTTACTTGTTAAACTGTACTGTGTTGTTTTTCATTTCTACACATTAAATACAGTGCAATACAATATACCGTTATGAAGATAAGGAACATTTGGACACCCTGTATTATCTTTTCTACCTTTATCCATTTAATGTCTTTTTCAAGAGGGCTAGGTTTGATGCTAATGTAAAAAGCTAAACGTTTAAACATCTGCACACACAGGGACTACAAACTACTGGAGTATAGATTATTTTATAGTCTATCACGTTCATAAAAGGTTTGACCAACAGATCAGAATGTTTTGGCTCATTACCCATGATACAATGGAAAAAACTGCTTTGATAGCAGAGAGCAGATAGAGGCTAGTTGGACAACAGACACCCAGGCTTCAGTCTTTGTTGATATCATTATGACTGACACCCACATGTGTTCTTGTTGGCTGTGAAACCGCAGGAGCTAGCGAGCAGCCTGGCTCATGCTGGTTCATGCCCGCTGAGAACTGGGGCAGACGGGCAGAGGCAGTAACTGGCCTTCAGGACTGACAGGCTCGTAAACTCAGGTATGGTAACTTGACTACAGCTGAGGCGGATGATACACAGAAAATATAAAGATCTAGTGACATTGTAAAAACTAAAACACTAACTTACCACATGCATTTTGTATTTAAAATTCTCTTCTTCATGTCAATGCATCCTAATTAGTGGGTATTATCACATTGTCATGTAGATCTTTTGTGTTATCGACCACCTCTATTACTGTTTCACTTGGCAGCATAAACTCATTTCATTATCCTTTCCTAAGTGTCAAATAAGTCACTGTAGAAGCAGATTTTGTTTTCAGCAGTGATGCACAGGTAGTAAATGTGTTTCTAGCCGTTTGGAAGAAATGTGTTTTTCTTATTACATAGATATAAAATACGAAGACTGCAGCTCCAATGCAACATCACTTTATCGTTATTTGCCTTGTGTGAAGGGAGTGATGACAGGACTGTAATAACTGATACCCCTGAGGGCTCATACAGCGGTCGGCAGAGAGCATTAATGTGCTGCAAATGCAGTTACATCATCATCGCATGAAAAAGTCAAGATGTTAAACGCGGTCGAAAACCAACCGCAAAACACACTATCAACCTCATCGTATGCCCGAGATATCTCGCCAAGTCCGGACCCACAGGGCAGGATCCAGTCTGGTTTGAGCAGAGACCTTGACGTATGATATTTTATTGTCAGTCTGAGGAACGCCATGTCTGCTGTGGCAACATCTGGCCCACAAATCTTTCCACCCAAACAACAATTTCAGTAACCCGTGTTTAGCAATCTGTCAACAAGTATCAGTTCCAACCACTTAATGCTACTCGTCAGTCAGTAGATGCAAGCTGAAAATACATTAATAAATTCACAAATGGCATCAAGTATAAACACCTTGTACAGCTCACCAGGTAAGGTAGAGCTGGCACCCCCGTGTACCAAGGCTGAGTCCTGGCAGCGGTGGCCCAGGGTTTGAATCCGACCTGTGGCCCTATGCTGCGTGTTATCCCCTCTCTCCCCCTTTCCTGGCACTCTTTAGCTGTCTCTATCGATCAAAGGCAATAAAAGCCCAAATATATATATTTTAAAAATAATTGAAAATATGAATGTATAAGAGAAACACATGTTAAAATGTAATGCAACAGTTTGTGAAGTTCTTGGAGCACATTTTCACTTTTGATGACATTTAAGTTAGTTTAAGAACCATGAAACACACAGTTTCCTTTCTAGGAAAAGTGTGACCATACAGCAAGCAATACTACGGGTAATACTCATTATAGTACTGCATTATAGTAGCTTACAAGTCAGATAGAGATATAATCTTTAAATCAGCAAAGCTTTGAAACCCACAAGCTCAGGAAATCGCTCGTCATTATATGAGAAAAGACGCACAGCACTCACAGGAAGTCAGTAAATTGTCCAGAAACAGGAGAGATGAGAGCATTTCAGACGTCTGGTTGTTTGTCAGCTGTTATCAGGGCAGTCCTCATCACTGGTGAGTACAATGGACTTCTGTATGTTGTAGTAAAAAATATGAAACCTCGTACAGATTTAATAACAACACACACAGTGCAGCCTGCTGTGTAGAGTTACTGTAGGAGTCCATAAATGATCGGTAAGCTTTTTGATTGTTCACAAAGATGATGGCAAATATCATTATATGGCAGCAGGCTCACCTTGACAGTTATTCATAATATCAATATTTATCATTATCACATCTGTTTTATGTTTTAAAAATGTTTATTCCATGGAAATGTTAAATTCCTGTGGACAACTTTAAGAACTACTCTATTTGTTATCTGCACTTGACATGCAAGAAGCTAAAACAAGCTAGTTAGTGAGATAGCCAAGGCTAGCCTGAACTAAAGCCAAAGGTAAAACTGCTTTATTTCTCCCCAGCTGTTAAATATAGCCACTTCTGATGAACTGACATCTTGGTAATTCAGTGATTTTACATAACAAAATGAAGCATTAGATAAAACAAATCATATTTCAGCCCAACATGATGTATTGACTTTAACTTTGCCTTTTCATGAATGTCCTGGCTGAAGTGAATGGAAGTGTTATTATACTGATCAACAACTGATGGAAACATTAATGGATTGCTATAATTATGATTACATATTAATCTTTATTTTTTCATTTTATTTCATTTTGAGCATCTTTGAATAATCAACACATCAACCAATCAATGCATTATATTTACTTTTTGCATTGCAGCAAGTTGTAGGCATTGGAGCAAAGAACAACAATGTTGATGTGATGTTTGTGGTACAAGTTGTTATTGTCTCTCTTGCAAGACATGTTTTGTACTTGGGCTGTGAATTGAAGCTGCAGCGAGCTTTCAGACTGTCCGTGTTCTGCTTGACACATTATGTAAGAGGTCGCACTCTGGTCACTGGAAACTTTATCTCTCCCACACTCAGGATGCTTTCAAATT